TTTCAAGTGTTTTGCCACGATCCCTCGGAATCTTCGGTAGGACGGACGTTTAGTTCACGATCTCTTTACGGATATACCGCTTTGTATCATTGGCATTACAGTCACCGTTTAGACGCTGTTTTGCCTCTTTGAACGCTGCTTTTGCATCTTGCGGAATACTCCAAGCATTTTCTTGCAAGTTTTACACGTGGCGTGACGGCGTCTTGAGAGATTCTTGTCTTTACGACTACTTTCTGAGTCCCGGCATTTCGGTCTGGATACCGCCTTTCTCGATTCGTTTTCGGTTTCCGTTTCGATTCGATAAAATAGCATCCTTGGGAGGGCTAAAGCCTTGTTGTAAACTAAAGGTATGCAAAACCAGTGGCTGGCTATATATGTGATGAATGGAGAACGTGGACACCAAGTGCGTGTGAGGAAATGTGCTAACTCAATTCTGTAGATCTTACGATTTCAATATCTCCGGATCTTCCCCGGTTTCGATTCCTTTATCTGTATGCTAGCTTGTTTGATTTTCAACAAAAAAATTGAAATTGATCAGCTGCATAGTTCTCAAACGTCGCGGTGTCTTGATACCTCATAACTTCTGGTATGTGTTTCTTATTGCATACACCCGAATGCTACACGGGCGAGAGCTGTAATACTAACAACTACTAGTGACATAAACTTTCACGGTTTCCTAACCTTCTCGAGACTTTCCCAGAAACTTTTCATTCATTGGTGAGTTTTGAGGATTACGTTCTGTTCTGCGAAGAACTCGACGCATCATCTGCGGTAGGAAACCGCACGGCAGATGAAATAAGATGGCAAGTTAACATGGGCTGGTTTTTTTTGTTCAGATAGCGAAATGTCTTTCCCTAACGGAACTCCCCCTGCCTCTGACATGGCTGCCGTGCCCCCGCCCGCGGGCGGCCCTGAGCAACCCAAGACCACTCTCTGGTAAGTACATTCATGTCTCTTGTACTATGGCGGGAGCATTGGACGCTAACACTCGGGGAAAGGATGGGAGAACTGGAGCCTTGGATGGACGAGAATTTCATTAAGGGCGTCTTTCTGTCCGCTGCTGGAGAGACTGTTAATGTCAAGGTGATTCGTGACAAGAACTCTGGGTACGTTGAATTTCTCCCGAAGTGTATCGTGTCGGGTTCTGACAATGACTTTTGCAGTAATGCGGGCTACTGCTTTGTTGAATTTACAACACCCGAAGCCGCTACCAAGGCACTTGGCCTTAACGGCACGCCCGTTCCTAATAGCTCTCGCCAGTTCAAGCTTAACTGGGCGTCTGGCGGTGGGCTTGTGGACCGACGGTGAGTACTGGTTGGGCGTTGAGCCCCCCTTTGTAGAACGATTCGTCGTCGAGACATGCTGACGAAAGGCGTGTTTGTGCAGTGATGATCGCGGCCCCGAGTACAGCATCTTTGTTGGTGACCTTGGCCCTGAGGTCAATGAATACGTCTTGGTCTCTCTCTTCCAGGCTCGCTTCCCCTCATGCAAGTCTGCCAAGATCATGACGGACGCCATGTCTGGTCAGAGCCGGGGCTACGGTTTCGTGCGCTTTTCTGATGAGAATGACCAGCAGCGTGCCTTGGTTGAGATGCAAGGTGTTTACTGCGGTAACAGACCTATGAGAATCTCTACTGCTACTCCCAAGAACCGGTATGCCCCCCACCCCCCCCCCCCACAAAAAACCCCCCCCCCTTTCGGGGGA